ACCGAGGGTTGTGATCCCGTTGCCGGTCCCGGTCCGGTACGGGTGCAACACTGAGTGTTGCGATCCGTTGCCGGTCCCGGTCCGGTACGGGTGCAACACTGAGTGTTGCGATCCGTTGCCGGTCACGAAAAAAGACAAAAAGGAAAAAAAAAAAGTAGGTAGATTGTGATTCAAATGATAAAGGTTGTGAGTTAAGTCAGGCTTCCATGGCAAACACACTTCTGTACAATGTAGAAATATTTCTACAAATGTAGTTTTCTTTATTAGACATTTTTATTTTCAAGTTTACAGTTCTTAGGATTGTTTAAAATAACCCTTTCAGTATTATAGGAAAGCTCTTGGCCTTTTGTAATAAATGGACTAAGATAGAAACTCTATTTTATGATGGTAAGGTAAAGAATAAGAAAGCTTTTAACTGAATTTTATGATAATTTATTTATAAATATTTGTAATCTTTTCCTTATCTGTCTCACAAGATGTAATGGCTACCTTAGTGGTTTGCTTTCTCAAAATACCAAAGTTTTAAAAGACTTTCCAGTGTTTTCAAGGTTCTTCATTATATTGATAATTTGGTTGCCTCTGGCGTTATTTTCTCACCAAGAATAAATTAAAGAATAAAGGGCTTGCTTTTTGCTTCCACAGTATTTATGGAATATGAGTAAGAGATGTTTTGATTGCATGTTTACTCTTTTTAACCTAGTCCCCTGATTCTCTTTCTTTACAGTGGCATGGGTGCTCTCTTATATTTGGCGTTGTAGATCATTTAAAACAACACTTGCTGACTGACCACACTAATCCAAACTTTCAGACTCTGAAATGTCGCTGGAAGAACTGTGATGCTTTTTTCACTGCTAGGAAAGGATCCAAACAGGTACAGCATTTGGACTTGAGGTTAACCTGGGGTTCATTAGACTGCTCAGAGCAGGAGCTGGCAAGCCTTTTCTTCTTTATTAGAATGTTCAGAATTGCAATAAATATGGAAGGCCTAGGGATTTTTCTGTAAGTTTAGAGATTTGGGGGAATAGCTTAATGAGTTTTCAGATAATGAATTAGGTAGTTTTTGAGAAAGAGCCTAAATAGAATGTTTTTAGGTGTTTCAAATTCAGTAACTGAGGGCCCGCCCGTGGCTCACTCGGGAGAGTACAGTACTGATAACACCAAGGCCATGGGTTCGGATTCTATATAGGGATGGTTTTTGAGAAAGAGCCTAAATAGAATGTTTTTAGGTGTTTCAAATTCAGTAACTGAGGGCCAGCCCGTGGCTCACTCGGGAGAGTACAGTACTGATAACACCAAGGCCATGGGTTCGGATTCTATATAGGGATTGACGGTTCACTCACTGGCTGAGTGTGGTGCTGACAATACCAAGGCAAGGGTTAAGATCCCCTTACCGGTCATCTTTTAAAAAAAAAAAAAAAATTCAGTAACTGAACCTAGAAGTTTATTACAGTGCTCTTCTAAGACAAGAACTTGTCTTTAAGTGCATAACCTCATGTAAATTAGCTGGCTCCTAACCGCCTTTTACGGATGGGTCCTAGATAGAAAGTATTCATATGACTTTCCTTGGCTTTGACTTTTTCCTGTCCTACTCCCAACATTTCTCTCATGGGGCCTTTTCCCTTTTTTCCTAGGATGCTACAGGACACATTGAAAGACATGCTGAAGATGACAGCAAAATTGATTCATGAAGTTTTTTGCCTCCCATGTTGGGAAGTCATTAGTTGAACTATTTTCACATGGGCCCCTTATGCAGGCCACTCTCTTCCCTTCCCCAATGAAGCTAGGAAGGAGAAAGTGGTTACTAGCTTAAGTCTGGGCATAAGTCTGGGCAGCTTATCACTAGCATAAGTCTGGGCAGCTCTATGGGTTGATAGGTTACGTTTTAAGTTCTTGCTGGAGGTTTTAAACAGTCAAATTTAAACAAATTTTAAGGAACCATACTTCTCTGGGACAGCATGACATATAATGATTTATGCTACTAGCATTCTCCAGATGTTTATAAAAGATACAAATTTTAATTGGTTACCCAGTTTGATCCTAATCATATGTATATTTTATTGATTTCAGTTTATGATTTTTAGTTTATATTTTTATGATGGTTTAAACCTGTAGTCAGGCTTTTAGGTACAAGTTTGTTCAAATGCTAAATTTTCAGGATTAGTTTTAATTTCTCCAATTGTAATGACTGGGTATTTAAATTGGAAGCAAATAGCTTCCTTTCTTAACAATTATATGCGGCATGTTTTTCACTATTCTCTTGCTTTGTAGATGGACAGAGCTGGCTTTAAATGCTAAAGGACACAGTAGACTTTTGACAAACAGCATGGTTACTCTACAGACTGTATTTTAGGAATTCAGAAAGCAAATTACATAGTAAGTCCTTACAGACACCACTTCCTGATGAACCTCTGTGCAAGTTTGGATAGAGTGCTCGGTGTGAGAGGCAGCACATAGACCTAATGTCTACCTTTAAATTTTGCTGTTAGACCTGGGCACTCACTGCTGCAGATATTGTCAGGCTGTTTGAACTGGAGATGAGCCTTTAACTCCCCTTCCAGTTTCTCATTCTCCAAGCCTGATGTGAGTTTGAACCTTTTGGCTTGCTCCATTGCCAGCCCCCATCTCTCTCGCTGTCTAGCTGTGCCAGGACCACTAGCAGTTATCAAGTCCTTTGGGCTCACAGGGTGCTTCCCACCCACCTGCAGCACTGAGATGGGGAGGTTAGAATAAAGCATCTGAATACGGTTTTTAGGGCCTCAAGCAGGCTTTCTAGAGACTTCTTTCTGAAACCAATGTCTTTGCCTTCACCTCCCCTTAAGCTGGAAAAGAAATGTGGAGTATGGTGAAGGGAAAGACTCTACCTGTCTGTTGAGAACAGTCAAATTAACAAAGCCTTAGTGAGACCGCTTTGTTTTTGGATTTTCTTTGGACTCTTATGAGTAAAACTGTAGAAGTGTTGCTTTACAACCTTTTGTTTCTGGATCTTCAAAACTCTGATTCTTCAGAGAGGTAGAGAGAAGAAGGGGGAGGAGCCCAGTACCACATGCCAACCTTCAGGATGTGACTCTTAACGTTTTCTAGGATTGCAGAGCATCCAGATTTATCCCCACCCCTGCTAGTGCACACACATCTACTTACATGTCTTCCCTCAAGCTCTAGGGCAGGTGGACTTCACTGAGGGTTCATTGATAGGCTTCAAGAGGGTCTGCAACCCCCCTGAAATTGTATGTAGGCTAAGTATGTGTCCTTTTTTTTTTCCAGGAAAGGCTCCAGTGGTTCTTACTGGATCCAAAAACTGTTAAGAACTAACCTAGGAGCTACTACTAGATGATGAATGACCCCACAGGCTGTTTACTTCTGTCCTTGTGAGTGGGAAAATTATTTTAACCACATTGTGGAGATTTGCATGATGCTTAAGAGAGAACAGAGAAGATCTTGTTGCATAAAGTGTATTTGTGCTGTTTCTGTATGAGATTAAGAAGCTTTTCCAAAACACCTTTCACCCCCATTTCTTGTAAGGGTGACCAGAGAAACCAAGCTGTTCTGTGAATTTGGGAATTTTGATTTCCCAGGAAAGTACATTTGGATATATTGCTAAACCTGGCATTTTTCTCTGGGCTATAGGGAAGCTATATTTCCATGTTGGCTGTTGCATAGGTGCCTCCTGTCCTGCCCAAGGATATGTCTGAAAAGATGAGAGTGGTGGAGCCTTTGTACAGCAGGAAAGGGGTATGTGCGGTGTTGGGAAGTAGTGGGGAACTTTTGAGGGTATTACAGACTGATAGAATCAGTAAGAACTATGATTTGGGTTTAGCTTTGGTAGAATCATGTGCATATATCTTCCTCTCTGTGTGCGTGTGTGAAAATTCCTTTGTATCTGTGTACACGTAGGCACCTATACTTGTAATGTTTTTCTTCATTTCATGAAAGTTTTCTTTGAAGCAGTGGCAATGTCTTTGTTTCAAGGACACCTGAAATTCTTTTAACACCAAGTTAGTGTGTTATCCAGAATGAACCATCCTAGCCCTTTGTTCAGAAATAAAGGGACCATAAGCATCATGGCTGCTTATGGTTATGTGTCATCACTTTTAAATGTCTTGAAAGTTGGCTGTTTTTTAAGTCTTCTGCAATGTCATGACTGATTATAGCCCTCTGTTTCCCCTCAGAGAAGAGGTGTGGATCAGGGAGGTGTGTTGATTGTCATTTGTAGAACCTTAATGAAAGGAAGAAATTATTGGGCCAGCCTGTGGCTCACTTGGGAGAGTGTGGTGCTGATAACACCAAGGCCAAGGGTTCGGATCCCTATATAGGGATGGCCGGTTAGCTCACTGGCTGAGCGTGGTGCTGACAACACCAAGTCAAGGGTTAAGATCCCCTTATTGGTCATCTTTTAAAGAATAAAAAAAAGAAAGAAAGAAACTATTGTATGACCTGACAAAAACCAACTCAGTACTTATTAAGTAGTTGGAGGCTATTTTTATAATGTTACTTTTGATTGTGCCTATTCTAATGGCTCAAAGCCAAGAAAACCCTAATATAAATCCTTTTGTGTGCATATGCTAGTGTTTTAATGGCAGTTCAGAGAAAATATGTCATTTCATGTTTTATGCAAGTTTTGATTAGGTTCAAAATATATTTTGGCATACTCCTCTCTCAGTTGTAATCAAACACAATGCAAACAAAACTCTAAGAACAAAGAATTATCTTGACCTGATGTTACTTGAATTTGAGAGAAAGTCATTACTTACTACTACACTCCTGCTTTTGTGGGGAAAAATTTTTTCTCCCTCAGAAGAGTTAGCAGTTGAGTGTTTAGTTCCTGACCTACCTATGATTTATAGGCAGTACTATTGCTGTTTAAGCGATTATTTGCCTTACAAAGGTTTTGTGTCTTTTTCCTTGTAGATTATACAATGGACAACTTTAGTAAGTAGGCATGTGGATGATTTGGGAATAGGTGTACACTTAGTGGAATGGTATGGTATATTTTATGGAAGAGAATTTATTGGAGGGGAGATTGAAATATATGGTAAAATGGGATTTGAATAGCACGTACTCTCTGATTTGCTCAAATAACTGCAATTTATATGCGCTTACTTATAAATTTGTTCCTAAAGGAGAATTACTAGAATTACTATGAAGGCCATGCCTACCCCATTTATAAAATAGTGGTTTCATCCCTGCCTCAAATCATCAGTATCCTCAGGGTTTAAGAGAAGTGGTCTAATGGATAGGAATAGAAGCTGTGGTGGAGGTGATTTGGGCTTTACTGAATTCCTTATGCAAGTGGATATGAAATGCTTATGTAAACCAAACTTAACTACTTATCAGACAATAACCTCTAACCTCACCTCCATCCCCAGGTATATAGCCCTCCTGGGTCATGTGGTGACTGAAGTTTCCCAGATTTGCTCTAAATTCAAGTAGTGACCCAAATGGATTGAGAAAGGACGGGGTTAAGGAGGAAAGGCTGTTGAAAAATCTTTCTCCTGTTAAAGAAGTATATGCCCTAGAGCTGCTCTAGCACCCTTGGTTTCTGATAACCTCACCTCCATCCCCAGGTATATAGCCCTCCTGGGTCATGTGGTGACTGAAGTTTCCCAAATTTGCTCTAAATTCAAGTAGTGACCCAAATGGATTGAGAAAGGACGGGGTTAAGGAGGAAAGGCTGTTGAAAAATCTTTCTCCTGTTAAAAAGAAGTATATGCCCTAGAGCTGCTCTAGCACCCTTGGTTTCTGATTTTTTTTTTTTTTTATATGGAGTATGGATTAGAAGAATGAAATCAGATTGACACTTGACTGTGGAAATGTTTATAAGCAAATAGCCTAGCCTTCTTACATTTTGGTATAAAGCTGTGAACTTCATAACTTTGTAAAGCAAGATATAAAGCAAATACAAGAGGAAAATAAAGTACTTTTACTAATTGACTGTTCACTTTGTTACCTTGTCTGCATATTCATAGTCAACCCCACATTTTTTTTTTTCCCCATGTTCACAGAGAACAAAGAGGAAAATTGGGCGGGAAAAAAAAGATGCTTATAGGTACGGTCCAGATAGTTTGGTGAACACCTACATTCAAAGGTTTGCCCCAGGTCATACAACAGATTAATTAGTGAGCAGAGGAGCTAGGATTAAATACTATTTTACTTTATTACACTCAGGTAACTGGCCCCTCCACTTATAAGTGACCAATTTATTCTTAATGTTCTACACACCAATAACTATTCCCTTTCCTTCCTTATATATCTTGGAAAGTTTCTGAATGATTCCTATGCTTAAGAAATAGCAATAGGCATGATTAAAGTAGGGTTTGGGGTTCGTTTTTGTGTGTGTTTTCCATTGTTCTATTCTGAAACTAGGGTTTTCTGTAGGTGATAGGTGAGTGTATGATTGGAAGCCATTCAGTCCTGCTGTGGCTGATATCTAAATGTGAGAAAACAAAACACAGTGGAACCAACCATACGCATGCCTTTATTTAGATCAACTTTCTTCAGAATGCAACCAGCCTTATGAGTCAGACAACCCAAAGTATCCAGCCCTTTTCCACTGAGTTAGTTTTCCCCAGAGCAGGCCCATCCTAAATCAATCAGGCAGACCAAGTGCTAGTTTGGTTACTGTCCCATGGGTGGGAGAGCATGAAGGGGATAGAGGACTCCAGTACAAAAAAGTGCTGAGTGACACTGGCAAATGCTTCTGCCAACAGCCTAGCACAAGCTAAAGACGGGAACATTTGCTTCAGAGCTGGGGCAGCTGGAATCAGAGCAAACCTCTCAGCTGGACTACAGTTAGCTGAGGCAGACACTTGCTTCGGTGTGGCAAAGCAACGAAGTTGTTCTCCATGCCTCATTGCTTTACTTAAGGGTCAGGTTGGACATGACATATCAAGCCGAGTAGGGAGTAGAGGAGGAACAAGACTGCCGAGGTGCCTGGAGGCTGGGGGACTCGGTCCTTTGAGGTAAGTGGCTCTAGCTATATTTGGTGAATTTGAAATCCTGAGTGATCCTGGATGGCCTTGGATGAGGCCAGCCTGGTTCAGGCATACATGGTGAGCTGCAGCCACTGAAAGAGGAAGTCCCAGGATCAGAATGTAGACAAGAAAAGAGAGTTTCCCAGTCCTAGAGATCTTATAGAGAAGGTGGAAAGGGACCAGTCCTCAAAATCACCAGGAAGAATTTTGAAGCAGCTGTTTTTACTGCATCCTTTCCCCCAGATCTTTCCTAGGAAGGTACTTGTTTTCCAGCATAAAGTAATTTTGGGAGCTGAGGGCCCTTTGGAGCCTTCCCCTAATGCACGTACCCTGTGAGCCCCATTCCCCACTGAGCTTCCCCTTTTCTTGGATGTGAGGAGCACACAGTGGTTCCAGTGTGCCTTGCTGAATCCTCAAATTTTAAGTTTCAGGGGGAGTGTGCTGTGTCTGTTATGCTTTACCTCTAGAACGTTGAGTTTGATGATGCCATCTCCATCCTTGTCAAATGCATTAAAAGCTCCTGTGTGGAAACAAATACCACATGTTCTCACTTATTGGTGGGAGCTAAAAATAAACGGGGGCGTGGGGAAGAAAACAACAATCACAGTTCCTTGAACTTGTTAAGACAAGTGAACAAATACCATGTTGATGGGGGCGGGGGGAGGAATCAGTAGAGGGACACAGAAATCAAGTACGCTGTATATTGATAAAAAAAATACTGTTCCTGGAAAAAGGAAAAGGTGATGGACAGTTATAGAAGTTCACTACCTACACAATTCTCATGTAAAACTTTCAATTTTAAATGTTTTATTAAAAATTACTTCCATTAAAAAAAAAAAGTGTGAAAGAATGCGTAAGCCAAAGGCCAGTTACAGGATCACTGTGCCTCCGCTGCTGTAACTTCTTAAGAGGACCATGAGCTAAGTGCTGTTCTTCAGCACAAATACCTGAAGGCAGAGTATCACCCATAACCCTCCCTTTTCCATACTAATCTGGGCCTAAAGAGGGCCTTGGCCTTTGTTCAGCCTGGACAGAGTGGATTTGGAAGATTGTCAGGCTGAGATACCTACTACCATAGCGGTCCCTGTGGGAGGCGGCTTGAAGGATCCAAGAGAGCAGAAGGGCACCCCCCCGCCATCACTTACTGAACATGCCCTCCAGCCTGACAAAGCAGCAGATGAAACTGTCGAAGTCGATGTTCATGTGTTTGTCTGCGTACCGCATGGTGATGATGTCGTAGAGCTGGCTGTTGAGGTGGAATCCTGTGGAGGGGGGTATGTTAGAGGAAGAAGTAATGTTGGAGTCCTGAGGCCTGCATCCCATTTTCCCTGCCTCTTGGCCACTCTGTGGCCTGGGAAAAGAATATGGAATACCCTTCATCCTTCCTTTCTCTAGCAGGGCCCTAGTTCCTGCTTCCACCAGCTTCTACCCACATCCCTGCCACCCCCTTTGTCCCCAGCACCTGCGTCATTGACTGCATTTCGCATCTCATAACTGTTGATGGTACCAGATTGGTCTGTGTCATAGTGTTTGAAAATTTTCTGGCAATAGAAAATTTGAGGACAGAGATCACACACTGAATCCCTGAATCGACCCCCTCCTTCACTCCCACATTTCGTTCCCTCTTCCCACCTGCCAGGCCTTAATCTTCTTCCAGAGGTGATGGAACTCTTGTAGGTTTAGCCTTCCAGAGCCATCCGTCTGGAGGAGGGAGGTCAGGGCTACAGGGCACATAGCAAAATCTCCCTGGATTTGGAGGGGCATCTAGGGGACTTCGCAGGGAGGGTGGCCCCATAGGAAGTCTCCGCCTGGGCTATGCTACCCACTGCCCTGTCTTGGTATTTAACCCTCCCCTCCACTCTTCCACCAATCAGAGTTCATGCCTACTCTATAACCTGTCTCCTAAGGACTACTTGTACTTGGGCAGGGCCCCCAGCAGGATCCCAGCCTGAGGTAAGAGCAGGATCTAGGGGTCAGTTACAACCCAATGTCCTTCCCCTCTGCCTCTAACAACCCCTTTCAGACCAGCATCAAGGATATTCTGAATCAGGATCTCCTTAAGTATTTCCTTGGGCATGAATTTGGGCCCTCTGCCTGACTGGGCACCCCTCATTGTCCTGGCCCCCGTGGGCTGATGACGGAGGGTCAGGAAGGGGTGACAGAAAGGATACATCCATGAGAGCAATCATGCTACGGCAGGACTCCAGCGTGAACCCCTGCGTCTTCAGTTCCTTATCTGGGGGGATGGAGAAGACTGAGGAGCTGCCTTTGGGCGGCCACAGCCCTCTGCCCATCCCCCACGTCTGGTTTGACCCGCTCACGTCTGTTCACAACTGTGTTAAGGACACTCTTGAGCTCATCTGCACAGATCTCCATGTCCTGGGGAGGGAAGGAGAAGAGAGTCACAGCTCAAGAATACAGCAGCTGATAGAGCAAATGCTTTGCCAAACAAATCCCAGCTGCCCACGTTTGTTATAAATCCCTGTCGGTGCTCTTCTGTCATGGGAAGCTGGGGCTTTTCTGAGGAGGACAGGGACAGATTCCACCCTCAGCTGTGCAGACTGCAGTGGGCAGCTTGGAGCAAAATGGCCACCCAGTGGATGTGTCAGTCCAGAACTCAAGTACTTGTGGATTTCTGTGCTATTCACATAATATCCCTGGGTTCCACCAAAATCCAAAATGACCTCTACTGAACAATAACAAAATAACAAGGAATTTGAGCAGTTAATCAGGGAGAGAAGAGAGCACTGTGGGAGTCCTAGGGTTGGACGTACTCACATCGCCTGCTATCTGCTTGAAAATGTTCCGGAAATGCTGCTGTTCCTCACTTTTCTGGTCAGAGTTGTCAGGCTGTGGCTGTGGAAGCACAAAGGAAATCTGGCTCACAGGCATCAGAGAGATGGACAGACCCGCGAGGAAAGCTCCTCTGGGCCAAAGGAGCCAGAGCGCCTAAAACAGCGGTAGGTGGCAGCAGGAGCTGGGACAGGGGCAAATGTGCTTTTTTCTTAGTTGACCCTGGTGGGGTCGAGTGAGAATCATCGAGGCCTCAGTGGCTCTTCACTCCACTCCTCTCCAGCCCTGACACCCCAAGCCAAAGGAGACATATTAGCCATGCAGACATGCAGACAGCCTCCTTGGTCCTCTTCCCACTCCATCCCCACCAGCTAGAGCCCTCTCCACTGTTTTAAGCCAGACCATTCCAATGATGCGCTCCAGCAAGTCAAAGGGGGGCTGATCACTCTGATCCCTCCAGCCACCTCTGTCGGCAAGGCCAAGTCCTCAGAGAACACTCCCCCATTCCACTGCATGTGCCCCAGGATAGGGGAGGTAGCCCTAGATTTGTTTGGGGACTTTTGCTCCTTGGCCTCACCTCTGCTAAGCTTTATACAAATGCCTCTCCCGACTCTAACACCCTCCTCTGAGTTCTGGAGGACATATTTCTAGTGTCAGTCCCCCTTTTCTGCTACTATTCTTTATCCTCCTATTGCTAAGAGCTCGAGGACACCAGGAAGTTGTTCAGTCTCAGGACTGAGCCAGGGGTTATTCAGTCTCAGCTCTCTCAAGCTGGTTCTCAGACTTTGTCTCCCCCTTCTCTCACTGTCCTGGCTGGAGAACCCCAATGGGGAGGCTCAGCTTGTCATTCCAGTCCTGGGACCAGTTTGGTGTGGTGGCCAACCCATAAGACACTCACCTAAGCAGCATCCCAAATTTTAGAGGAACTTGCTGAGAAAAAAAGGTCAGTAGGACAAATCCAAACCTCTAGATGTTAAAGAGACACCCCCCGGGAACCCCTCCAGCCCCCATGTACTCCATAGCAGAGGAGGACTCCTGTGACGCGTTAGCCACCCCGCTCATGCCACATGCTCAGAAACCTGTGGGGATTTCTCTTGCTTATCAGGGCTTGTTTTGCCTCTGCCCTCCTCTGACTCCTGGTCCACACCCAGCTCCTTGTTGCTGTTTGCTCTGTCTGAAACGAAGATGATGGGCTGGAGAGAGGAGGGAAGTGGGGAAGGGCAGGAAGGAAGCAAGGATTACAGGCTGAGCAGCCTTGTCCAGTGAGAAAAGGAAAAGATCAGAGTTGGGAGATCTTGAACCTCAGTTCAAGTTCCATCTCTGCCACTAACAAGCTGCGTGACTTGAGGAAAGATGCTAAGCCACTCTGGACCTCAGTTCTTTGTCTTTTAATACCCACCCCATCGCTCCTCATGATAGATTTAGGAGGGTTCAACAAGGTAGCACATGTGAAAATGCTAAGAATGGTAAAAAAGCAGCATGATCTAGTGCAGTGACTTTCAAATTTTTTGTAGACTTTTGTTCAAATAGAAACCTGTTTGGGCCGGCCCGTGGCTCACTCGGGAGAGTGCGGTGCTGATAACACCAAGGCCACAGGTTCGGATCCTATATAGGGATGGCCGGTTCGCTCACTGGGTGAGCATGGTGCTGACAACACCAAGTCAAGGGTTAAGATCCCCTTACCGGTCATCTTTTTTAAAAAAAAAAAAAAAGAAAGAAACCTGTTCAAATTAAAATTCCCCAGAAACCCTTGTATATAAAGCCATTTAAAACAGCTTCTCTGATTAATGAGGAGGGCAGAGTTCTTTCCCTTCTGTACCCCACATCACCACAGCAGCTACTGAGGCACCTTTAAGGAACATCTGGGACTCTGCAAAGCATGGTTTGGAAAAAGGCTCTGATTAGTGGTATGGTCAAGGAGTGAGTGATCAGAACACTGGGCTGGAATCCCAGCCCCACCTATCATATAAGAAATATCATCTCTGGCCTCAGTTTACTCATCCGTTAATGGGGATGGTAAAACCTGCTTTTCCCTCCTGATAGGGTCCTTGGGATCAAATGAGATACTGAATATAAAATTGTACTGCAAAAACATTTAAGATGCTACACAAATACAAGGGATACTTTCAAGACATGTTCATGCAAGTGAAGAGGGTATAAAAAGGGTGGATAGTGGTTGCCACATCATGTCAATGCTGGTGGGTGCTGTGCACCCCACAGGAAAAGCCAGGGGAAGGCTAGGCTGTAGGAGTTGGGGTCTGCAGTGCAGAGAACAATGGGGCAAGCAGGGTCTCTCACAGCAGCAAAGTGCACCTCTGAGTCTCCATCTACCTTTCCACACTGTTCATCCAGGACAGCTTGAGTGGACAGACCTATGAAAACAGCTCCCCCAGCCTTGGCTCCCAGCGGTCCCCATAGAACCTGGCTTGCTGTGCCTTCTAAGCAAAGGGTCTTGCCCAAGCAACTGAAGTTTGTGGGGATCCTGGAGTAAGTGGAGGTCATAGTCTGAGGGCGGACGGGTGGACATGATGTGTCATGGAGCATCCCTGCCAGGCACACATCTCCAGGCCCAAGTGTGGGTCTGAACAACACAGGCCTGAGAGTGTGAGGGGAGGCACCAGAGGTAAGGGCTAGAAACACAGGAGGGGACAGATATGGTTTCCAGTTCCAGTTTTCCCATTCATTAGTGGTGTGTTCTTGGGCAAGCCACCTCGCTTCTCTAACTCTGTACTCACCTGTAAAAGGGGAATAATGACAGCAACTACCTTGTAGATACTGACATAACTGAAAATTTTTTTACCCCCATATAGTGCCTGGTACACGGTATGTGCTCAGTGAATGTCAGCCCCAGTCTAGACCAGCACCAGTATTTGGAGGATCCCTGTGACAGATCCTCCAGGCACCACCATAAACATTAGCACCAAAATTTGTCTGATGGCCTGTGGTTGCTCAGAGCACAGACAGGGGGGCCGGACCACCTGGCTGGCTTTGCCACTTCCTGGCTGTGTGGCCTTGGGCAAGTTAGTCAATCTGTACATTATCTCGCTCTGCAAATGGGGATAATAATAGCACCAATCTCAGAGGGTTGTTGTGAGGATTGAGTTAATCCATGGAAAGCACCTAGAAGAATGCCCGGCACATAGCCTTTCCCTAGCAAGTATTAGCTCTCATTATTAAGCACTCTTGCTCCAGCAGAGCTCCGGGAGATGGGGAGGAAGAGGCAACTCTGGTGTGTGCACACACATGCACACACGCACTGCACGTACACATGCATACACACACACACACACTCCATACCGTCCACCCACTTATCCTGTTACACTCACCTTGTTTTTTTTCTTTTTCTGCACGAAAAAAGGAAACGGTAAGTGCAGAACAAGTGCAAAGGAAGTTCCCAGAACTGCCAGTGGCTTCTGGCTTCCCTGAGACTTGTCCTTAGCTTAGGGTGAGGCTCTAGGGTCCAGAAATCTGGATCACAAGGAGCCAGAAAGGGGCATGGAGGGTGAAAGGAGGAGAGAATTCTTCCTTTTCCCTTTTCCATGCCCAGAGACTGGAGGCTGCTATGCCTTTGTTTTTAGAGTCCACTGCTATTGGATACAGCCAAGGAAAGGGATCTTCTGGCTAACTTTTTTAAAAAATGAAATTGGTTATTAAAATAGCAAAAACATGGCTCATTCAAACCAGCTCAAAAATGAATTTTGACTTTAGAATATTAAAAAAAATTTTGAGAGCAAACATTTAACATAGGGAGATTTAATATGGAAATCCAGGTTTGGGCTTCTTTTGTAAAATTACAAGGTCTGTCAGGCTACACCAGGCCTGTGATCCCCTCTGGCAACAATCAGCTGAGCTGACAGTAGCTGCTCTCTGCACCCTCCAGATTGCCACAGTCGCCACCACTCCAGCTGTCCCTCCAACACTGCAGCCAAGAATCGGTTGAGAACTGCAGACAAATATGCAGTGTAGAGGCAGAGAACCACTATGCCTGCCTGCTCTACTCAGCTGGGTGACATGCCAGCTCCTATAAGCTTTTCAGTTTGCAACTCCTGATAGGCACTGTACACTGAACACCAGTGTTCAAAAGAATAGAACCAAATGTACTTAATACTAAAACCAAATGTCTGTGATAATTCTGAAGGCTCTTGGAGATCTAGTGTGGGTAGAGGGTCAGGATTATGACCATGAGTGTCACTATCCAGAAGAGAGTTCAGTGAGACATTTATCTATCTATTGGCCCAGGTCACACCCACAGAGCTCAAGGGTATGTTTACTCACCAGAGCCCAATGCCCCAAGGCATCACAAGACTCCTCAGAACAGCAGAAGAGAGTTCAGTGAGACATTTATCTATCTATTGGCCCAGGTCACACCCACAGAGCTCAGGGTATGTTTACTCACCAGAGCCCAATGCCCCAAGGCATCACAAGACTCCTCAGAACACAGACCCCCAACACACACCAACTCTGTGCTTCTGACTTTGGGCTTCTCACTCCTGGGGGCTGGCCTCCACATGGAGGTGGGGAAAACTCAAGTCTGGAGTCACAGAATCTGGGTGTGAGCTCTAGCCCTGTCTCTTAATAGCTCTGTGAACTCAAGGAAGTCATGTAATCCCACTACATCACCTCTCCCTTGCTTGAAAACCAGGGATTATAACCTCATCTACTTCTCAGAAAACTTGCAAGGATCAAGTGAGATAACACATGTGAAAAGTACCTTGTAAGATGTAAGACATGTGAATAATAACCCAGGCTGTGCCAGACACTTCACACATGATCTCATTGATTTAAACCTCACCAAAGCCTTGAAAGGCACATTATTATTGTCCCCACTTCACACAGTAGGAAACAGAGTCAAAGAGGTTATGTAACTTGTCTAGGTCACCCTGCTGGTAGGTGTCGAATCCAGGTTTTGACGCTGAGTCCAGAGCCTGTATACTTTCTTTTCTTTATATGAGAAATCCAACATTATACAACCCCATAATCCAATGTTAGCTGCTGTTCTTGTTGTCATTTATTTCTTCCTTTGGCCTTGTTCCCTCCTTCTAATTGTTCAAATTGCTTCTTCCTTCTGGGACTTCTATACTTCCCAGCCCCTGAACCTACTAAATGGCCCCAGGACCATACGGCCCATTACTTTTGGCTGTGCTGATGGAGTTTGGATTTGTTGTCCCTGCCAATACTCATGTGGAAATTTGATTTCCAATGTGGCAGTGCTGGAAACTGATTGAGTCATGGGGGCGGATCCCTCATGAATGGATTAATGCTCTCCCTGGGGGAGGAGGGTAATGAGTGAGTTTTTGCTCTATTAGTTCCCACAAGAGCTGATTGTTTAAAGGACCCTGGCACCTCCTCTCTCTCTCTCTCTCTTGCTTCCTCTCACCATGTGATCTGCTCGTACCCACCAGCTGCCTGCCACTTTCTGCTATGAGTAGAAGCAGCCTAAAGCCCATGCCAGATGCAACTGTCCCAGAATTGTAAGCCAAATAAACCTCTTTTCTTTACAAATTACCCAGTCTCAGGTAGTTCTGCTATAGCAACACAAAAAGGACTAAAACAGAAAAATTGGCACCAGAAGTGGTGTGTTGCTATACAGAGACCTGAAAATGTGGGTGCAGCCTTGGAACTGGGGGCATGAACTTGGAATGGTCAAAGGTTGGAGGAGTTTGGAGGACTTAGAAAAAGACAAAAAGATGAGAGAATGTTTGGAAGATTTTAGAGATTGGTTAAATGGCTGTGACCAGAATGCTGATAGAAATGTGGACAGTAAAGGCCATGCGGATGATGAGGTCCCAGAAAGAAATGAGGAACTTATTGGGAATTGGACAAAAGATAACCCTTGCTATACCATAGCAAGGAACCTGGCTGCATTGTGTCCATGCCCTTGGACTTTGTGGAAGGTGGGACTTAAGAGTTGTGAACTAGAGCATTTGGCCAAAGAAATTTCTAAGCAGCAAGGCATTAAGGAAGCTGCATGGTTGCTTTTAAGAGCCTATTCTGAGTTATGGCAGCAAAATCATGATGTAAAGCCAGAATTTAAAAGGGAAGCAGAGCATAAAGATTTGGAAAATTTGCAGCCTGGCCATGTAGTAAAGAAGTGGAGAGCCAGAGAACAATGCAAGGGTGAAGCAGATAAACTGGTTGCTAAAGACATTATCTTGGTGGTGAGGCAGCCAGATGCTAAGAGCCAAGACAATGAGAGAAAAGCCCTAAGGGCATCTGAGAAGTCTGGAAGGGTGCCCCACCCATCACAGGCCCTAAGGCCTAGAACAACTGAGTTGTCCCAGAGGACAGACCTGGGGTGCAGCTGCCCCTGGGGAACCTGCTCCCTGCAACCCAGGTGCTCTGGCTGGAGCGGCCCCAAGTATGGTTCCTGCAGCAGCCCTGGAAAGTAGAGGCCCGAAACCTCGGTGGCATCTATGTGGTGTTAAGTCTGCAGGTTGGCAGGATGTGAGACCAGTGGAGGTGTGGCAGCCTCCACCCAGATTCCAGAGGATGTGTGGGAAAGCATGGGGGCCCAGGCAGAGACCTGCCACAGGGGCGGAGCCACTGCAGAGGACATCTACTAGAGCAATGCCAAGCAGGAAAGTGGGGTCAGAGCCCCCACAGAGAGCCCCCCCCCCCAGGGAATGTCTAGTACAGCCAATGCAGCAGGGCTTCCGCCAGGACCCTAGAACTTGGGGGCCACTGGTAACATGCAAGACAGGCCTGGAAAAGCCACAGACACCAGCGTGCCCCACTGGGCTGTGCCTGGCAGAGCTGTGGGAACAAGGCTGTCTGATACTCTGGGGGCCCAGATGCCCAATTGTGCCCAGGATACAGGACTTGGAGTCAAAGAAGATTATTTTGGACCTTTAAGACATAATGTGTGCCCTGCTGGGTTTCACACTTGTTTGGGACCTGTTTCTCCTTTCTTCTGGCCTATTCCTCCCTTTTGGAATGGGAACATGTACCCAATGTCTGTTCCACCATTCTGTCTTGGAAGTAGATAAATTTGGTTTTGATTTTTACAGGTTCACAGCTGGAAGGACTTTTGCTTTTGGTCTCAAATGAGACTTTGGACTTTCAAGCTGGTGCTGGAGCAAGCTAAGACTTTTGGTACTGTTGGGATATAATGATTATATTTTGTATGTGAGAGTGAATGAGTTTTGGGGGGCCAGGGGTGGAATGATGGAGTTTGGATGTGTTGTCCCTGCCAAAACTCATGTGAAAATTTGATCTCCAATGTGGCAGTGTTGGATTGAGTCATGGGGGTGGATCCCTCATGAATGGATTAATGCTCTCCCTGGGGGTAGGGGGATTAATGAGTGAGTTCTCGCTCTCTTAGTTCCTGCAAGAGCTGATTGTTTAAAGGACCCTGGCACCTCCTCTCTCTCTCTCTCTCTTGCTTCCTCTCACCATGTGATCTGCTTGTACCCACCGGCAGCCTGCCACTTTCCGCCATGAGTAGAAGCAGCCTGCGGCCCGTGCCAGATGCACTGTCCCAGAATCATAAGCCAAATAAACCTCTTTTCTTTACAAATTACCCAGTCTCAGGTAGTTCTGTTGTAGCAACACAAAATGGGCTAAAACACATGCCAAACAGGAGTTGCAGTTACATGGAGTAATTGCTCTGCACACCCCGACTCCCATCTCCCTCTGCCAGTACCCACTCTCCCCTCCGCCACCACCTGTCCCCTGCCTGAATCAGGGAAAGTGACCCTCTAGACTTTCTTACATGTAAAAGTTAAACCACTCACCACTGGCCGATCCACGGAGATTGTATTTTCAACGTCCCTGTGAGGAACACAAATATGCAGCTGCCTCAGTGACATCAGGAGCACGTGGAGATTTGCTCAGGTCACATGCCTTCTTGGCAACCAGTCAGGACTAGATTCAGAGAACCCCTGGAACTAACCTCCCCCACCCCAGGAACCAGCCCTGTGTGCCCCATCCCCCACAGCCAAGCCCATGCACATGAGTTCTTGTTGGCATTGCACAGAGCTCCCCAAAGTCATGACCCAGCCACCTACCCATAGACAGTGCACTTCTTCCAGGGACAGAGATGAGAGTGGCAGAGCCTATGAACTCATCTGTGGTGGCCATGGGCCAAGGGTAGGATGTGGCCTTGCTGGCTTCCTTGCTCACACTAACTTAAAATTTCAATTACTCCCAACACCTCCTATTCCTCTTCCCCACTTTATTTTTGCTCCTTATCACTTCTCCAAATCTAAAATACTGTATATATTATCCTATCTATTGTTTCACACTAGAATGGTAAGCTCCATCAGGGCAGGAATTTCTTTCTGTTTAATTCACTGCTCTATCCTCAGTGCCTAGAAGAGTGCCTGGAACATAGTAGATGCTCAGTAAACATCTACAGGATGAATGGAATGAATGAATGAAGGTTATATATCCAGTGAATCAGGAGTGAGGGAAGAGGTGCAGCCTAGTCAACATATCCCAGGTCCCTGGAAGAGACTGGTCCAGCTGCCTTATACCTCCAATCTCTAGAATGGGCCATGTGAGCTTTCAGGGACAGGTGGGGAAAGCCAGGCTGGGACTCACTCAGAGAGGTTCCTCTTTTCAGAGAAGACCCGGAGGATGAATTCCCCCTCCTGGTGGGGCTCATAGGTGGAGGGTACAATGACGTACTCGCTGGGGGGCAGGCGGAAGCGCTGGGACACCTCCCGCATGTTGATGTAAGTTTTGCTCCTGGCCTTGGAGGCATTGTACAGGAAGAAGTCCTTCTGCAGGTGCTGCTTGTTCCCGTGCATCTGGGGGACAGAAGAGCCCATGGGACCTGAGTATCTTGGGAAGGATGCCCTGTCTTGATCACAGTCCCCTCCAGGATCCCTTCCCAAGTCCCTGATCACCCATTTCACAGTCTCAACCTACCTACTTCTGATTCCCAAGGTCTCAAATAGCTCAATATCCCTGGAGCTCCCCACCTTACTTCCTCTTCCTTTTCTGCTGTGATTTGGAAGTGAAGGTCAGGTCTATCATTCCCACATGCAGGGCCACTTACCAGAACTGCTGCTCATCAACTCCAAATCCCCTCGGGCTGGGAAGGGCCCAACAAGGCAGAGGGGCCTTGGCTGCGTTCTGAGGGAAGTGATTCCTCCATCCCAAAGAGTGCAGACACCCTCCGAATGTGTCTGTGTGACTCTGTGTGTGAGTGTGTTTTGTGCGAGAGTGAAGGGTTGAGCATAAGTGTGTGGACAGGCAGAGTGTCTGGTGGGAGGGAGAAAGTGCCCATCATGGAGATGATAGCTATGGGTCATGCAATGCTCTGAGGCACCTGCTCTGCAGTTGATATAAGGCAGGCAAAGACTTCTCCTATCATAGTCCTGTCCACAACCCCCCCAGGAAGCTTGTCGAGAAGCCACAGACTCGGGACCCCCACCCAGGTAATGTTGCACACAGCTGCTGGCCGCTGCCACTGCTATACCTCTTTGGGAACCTTGAGGAAAAACAGAAAAAGATGTTTCAGGTCTGAATGAGGAAAAAGCTTGCAGAAGTGTTTGCCAGCAATTGCAGCATGAATGCCGAAGTCTGACTCTCCACAAACCCGCCAGCCGCGGCCCCACTCCACCTCCCCCCACCCAGGCCCCCAGTGTCTTCTGCTTGTTGCAAAACAAGTGAGCCTGATCCCAGGAGCTCGGGGTGGGGGTCACTGAGTAGCAGGGAAACCAGAAGACCCTTCTGGAAGCCCCCCAAAAGTCTCCTCGCTGGGAACTTTTTGTGTTTCCTGGGCTGGAGCTGGTCAGGGACTGCACACCTCGTAGATGGCGAAGCCGATGGTGAAGAGGTTGGCCCCCAGCTTCCGGTCCTTCCGCCGGTTCTTCTGCATCAGGGCCACCAGAAAGCTGCAGATCACCTCGGAGTCGTCAGGGTCATCGTCTTCCTCCAGGAGCTTCAGACGGTACTGCGGGTTGGTCCAGAAAGTGTCTGTGCCCCCAGAAAGGAAATGCACATTCAGATCTACCTCTCTAAGAAAGGGCAGGAAGGGAAATGAGACAGAGGGAACCTGTTCATCTCTACCCTCCTGCACCTAGGTGCTCAATTAATATTTATGGAAAACATGATTCAGGTATTTGTCTAATCACTGGGGGTGGTGGGTGGGATGGCAGTCTCTACCCTTATCCAGATGGAGCTGCACTGATTGGATGTGTGGTTCCTCTTCCCTGTCTGAACTTGAATTCTCAGTCTTTGCCAATGGCTTTACTTTCCTTACCCGCCTCTTAAATGTTGTTGGTCCCTGGCATCTGGTCCTAGGCCTCTTCTCCTTTCACCCCACCTGTCCTGCCTCCCTAAGCAATCTTACCCGCTTCTACTTTTTAGCTGCCCCTACATGCTGATGACGCCTGAGCTATATATACCAGCCTCAACCTCTCTTCTGACTCCCTCTCTACTTTCTTTCTTTCTTTTTTTTTTATTTCCTCCTACTTACCTTCTTTCCTTGTTTTCTTACTTTATTTCTTAGATATCTATTGGGCTCTTATAATACAAGCACTGTTCTAATATGTGCATCCAATCTCTGTTACAAATCTTCACTTGGATATTCTACGGGACCTCAGACTTAGGAGCTGCACTGATTGGATGTGTGGTTCCTCTTCCCTGTCTGAACTTGAATTCTCAGTCTTTGCCAATGGCTTTACTTTCCTTACCCGCCTCTTAAATGTTGTTGGTCCCTGGCATCTGGTCCTAGGCCTCTTCTCCTTTCACCCCACCTGTCCTGCCTCCCTAAGCAATCTTACCCGCTTCTACTTTTTAGCTGCCCCTACATGCTGATGACGCCTGAGCTATATATACCAGCCTCAACCTCTCTTCTGACTCCCTCTCTACTTTCTTTCTTTTTTTTTTATTTCCTCCTACTTACCTTCTTTCCTTGTTTTCTTACTTTATTCCTTAGATATCTATTGGGCTCTTATAATACAAGCACTGTTCTAATATGTGCATCCAATCTCTATTACAAATCTTCACTTGGATATTCTACGGGACCTCAGATTTCTATGTCCCGATCTAAACTCCTCTTCCTACAACTCCACAACAAACCCCACCAAAAACAAATGCCATACCAATTTTTTTCTCTTGTGTCTTTTACTGCAATGCTGACACCATCCACCCTGGTCCCTAAACAAAGAATGTCATCACCCAATATGTTCACCCCTAAGTCTGCCCTCTCCCATCTGTGCTGCCACTCACTTGGTCTAAGCTGTCATCATCTCTGACTTGAATTACTGCAGTAGTTGCTAACTCTGTCCTCTAGGACTGCCCTCAACTTTACTGACACAGTATTGTTCTGACAGTTTGCTGCTTAAAAGTTGTTGCCAGCTCCCTATTTCAAACTCCTCAGCATGGCAGTTTCCTTCTCAGCAAAATGGGGAGGGTTTAAACAGATGATGGATGTCTGGAACTTAGTAGAGACTCCATNAAAAACAAATGCCATACCAATTTTTTTCTCTTGTGTCTTTTACTGCAATGCTGACACCATCCACCCTGGTCCCTAAACAAAGAATGTCATCACCCAATATGTTCACCCCTAAGTCTGCCCTCTCCCATCTGTGCTGCCACTCACTTGGTCTAAGCTGTCATCATCTCTGACTTGAATTACTGCAGTAGTTGCTAACTCTGTCCTCTAGGACTGCCCTCAACTTTACTGACACAGTATTGTTCTGACAGTTTGCTGCTAAAAGTTGTTGCCAGCTCCCTATTTCAAACTCCTTCTCAGCAAAATGGGGAGGGTTTAAACAGATGATTGATGTCTGGAACTTAGTAGAGACTCCATAAATGATAGTCAATGTTATTCTACCTGGAGCTGGTTCTGCTTGGGCCCTTCCCCCGTTGAGAGTATCTCCCACCTGGGAAGTTGCGGCAGCCTCCAGCAGAGCAGCCCCTCACCCAGCGGCCCTCATTCACGGACACTGTCCAGGTCTGGAGCTTGTCAGACTCCAGGGCATCAGCTGTGAGGTTGCAGATCTCCAGCTTTGTGAAATGGTAGATGAAATCGTCGTATGACATCCTGAGAGGATGGAAGAAGAGAGACCCATATGGGAGCAGGGGGTGGGGTGGGGGCTGGAAAAGGGAAGATCCAGTGCTAACAACACAAGATAAAATAGTTCAGAGGATCTTGGCCAAGGTCCTAGAGGGTCCTGTCCTTCCTTTACAGGGTAAACACTGTCAGTTCTGATGTGTCTATCCCAAACTATCATCATCTCTTCCAATAATGACTCAAAATTATGTGTCCTTGATGGGAGACCATGACAGAAATTCAGTTCTCTGAAAAGTTATTGAGTGCCCTACCACTGTGCACCAGGCATAGTGCTAGGCACAGGGGAAAGAGATACAATCTGGGAAAGGACAGACAATTAGGTAGGAGATTTTAAGGGTGATGAGCATTACAAACAAGTTAACCCCAGTCCTGGAGAACTTAGGGGGGGTCCCAAAAAAAGTTCCCATTAAGCTGCAACTTAAAGGCTGAGTAGAAATGATCTGAGTGAGGGTGAGGTTGGCATTGGGAGATCAGGGTAAGTAGAACTTCCCGGGCTCAGAAAAGCCAGGGAGCACATGTGGCTGGAACACGGTGCATGGCAGAGGGGCACAGGTGAGGCAAGAGCCATGTTTTTGCTGGCCTGGTCCTGGCTCAGTTATTACCGGGACCTGGCGGCCTCCTCTCAGAACCTCATCCTTGCAGGGCCTCCAGCTGGAGAAGGAGAACAGGGCCCAGATCTCCCCAGTGCTGGAATCTGATAGACTCTTTCTGGGGACCGAAGTCTGAGATTTCACCTCCCTGCCCCATCCCTTACCCTTCTGGGTCCTCCTGAGTCCTGGACTCACCAGAACTCTCCATCCTCTGTGACCTGGTGCTGCAGACGGGCCTTCTCATCTTTGTCCACAAAGCTCCAGTCCTTCCAACTGGTGGGGAAAATGTAGGAATTACGGAAGGAAGAAGAAGGGAAGGCCTGATGTGGGTTGGGACAGGAGGTAACAGAGAAATCTGAAGTTGAAGGAGTAGCCAATCTCCAAATTGCAGCCAGTGTGAACCACCAGAATGCTAATCTGATCTGTTACCTGCAGTGTAAAACCCAACCATTGCTTCCCACCATCCTCAAAATTAAGACCAAACTCCTTCATTGGGTCTATAAGGACTTGACCCTTCTCTGGCTGAATCTTTTCTCCTGCTCACTCTCTAAGCCTTAAGAGTTGGGCTCTGGAAATAGACAAACCGAAATTTCCACTTAATAACAGTACTAGTAGCCAATCTCCAAATTGCAGCCAGTGTGAACCACCAGAATGCTAATCTGATCTGTTACCTCCAGTGTAAAACCCAACCATTGCTTCCCACCATCCTCAAAATTAAGACCAAACTCCTTCAATGGGTCTATAAGGACTTGACCCTTCTCTGGCTGAATCTTTTCTCCTGCTCACTCTCTAAGCCTTAAGAGTTGGGCTCTGGAAATAGACAAATCGAAATTTCCACTTAATAACAGTACTATGTAACTTTGGGCAAGTCACATAACCTTTGTCAGATTTTGTTTCCTCAACTGAAAAAGGGAAACGATTGCATCAACTGCTCACAGGGCTGTGATGAGTAGAGGAAATATGCATGCAAAGCTGTCAGCATAGTGCCCACGGGATAGTAAGAAAATGTCTGCGTTACTAAGAAAAAGACCAAGTATGTAAACATCTCCTTTCTCCTGTCAGGAAACAGCCCAGCATTGAGTTTGTAAAGGCAGGGCAGTTTTTACATGCTCTCTCTCCTCAAGAGGGAGGAAATAAAGCACACTTGTGTTTCAGGCTGACTGAGGAGAATTAAAGTAACCTGGGTGTCCCTGAACAGGGAAGGGGTTGAGGAAGTGCCTGAAATCAGGGAGCACTGGAGGGGAAATGGAGATTCCTGAGATTGGAAGGAGGGACATGGCGGGGGGAGCCTCGTGAAGTGACCAAGGGTTGGGCCCTACTTGTCAGCAGCCCCCGCAATGAAGCATCAGCAGCAAGTGGGTCAAGGCTGGACACCAGGCTCCGAGGCTGGAGAACACGCAAGGGTCCCTGTGGGTGACTAGAGCCAGTGGAGCAGACAACTGATGGGGCACTGAGGGTCTTCCCAGAGCAGATGCCGCTCCCTCCGGGCTTTTTCTCCTCTTCCCGTCCCACTCAAACCAGGTGAGGGGCTCCCTCTTTGTGATCCTTATCACGGCATCGATCTCAATTATTACTGTTTGTCCTTTCCTCTGGACCATAAATCCACAGGTGCAGGGCCAGTGTCTCTGTGTTCATTTCTACATCCCCTGACAGTAGCATAGGGCCTGTCACATAGTCAGCACTGAGGAAGTAGGGATCTGTCACATGCATAAGTGCAGGAATGTGCGTGAATGTCTGCAGGAGTCGGTAAGGCACAGACTGTACGTATCACAGTCTATCGAGGGAAGCTGCTTGCTCATGGAACGTCCCCAGTGCCTAGACCTGTACCTGCTATTTAGTAGGTGCTCAATAAACACTTCCTAAATGAATGAATGGCTGATGAACCAGTAATTACAGTAATTACTTGGGATAAGAGGGACATAGAGGTACATAAGCACAGAGGCTGAAGGGCCCACCAGCCTGGGTGTGGTCCTTCTCACCTACCAAGTCCTGCTACCTCCCTCTTGAAAATAAAAGAGGAGTTCGAGGGGCTGCCTACCATTCAGTAGACGCAACCAGGAGCCAGTTTTTGGGTGGGACTATAAGAGGCTTTGTAGATGTTCTGGAACCTTCATAATAACTTCTCTGTGTCTGTTATTTATATTGTCCTCAGTCTATTCCTTTCAGTGATAAGCATTAAAATTATTTCTAGGGCCCATGTGCCTTTGTATGGGGATAGCAAGGGAGAGGAAATCTCAGCACTAGCCAAGTACTTTCTAAAAATGATCACATTTACTCCTCATAACAGCCCATGAAGGTAAGCACTAATATTGTTCCTATTTCATAGATAAGGCAAGAAAGCCTCTGAGAAGGGAAGTCACTTGTCCAGTCTAGACCCCTGCATTAAGACGCTGCTTCTGCCTGGGCCTAGCTCATGCTTTCTGGAATCTTTCCTTTCCAGCCGTGGGCCATTAGCAACCTCTCATTAGTCCCTGGCTCCCCTGGCTCCACTCCAGCCCTTGCCTGGAGCCCACACCTGTGCCCCCCTCTTCTCCTCTGTAAATCGTTGGTTTTGAGTATGATTTTACATCAAGCATTTGTAGTGCTCAGTACCCAACCCAGCCTTGCCCTAGGCCCTGTTGCCCCCACATGAGGGGCGCCCTCACCTACCCGTCACTCCAAGAGCCGTTCCACTCCACCTGGCCCCAGGGGTTCCGCAGCCGTACCAGCTTCACTTTCTCACCTTTGAACAGGGTCTTGGGCAAAGAGAAAAGGCTCTCATACTCTGGAGCCTGTCTGGAAAGGGGATCTTCTGTGTTGCCCTGAGGGCTGGAATGGGGATGGGGAGAGTCCCTTATGTGGGGCTGTCCTGCCTGGCCCTGGCCAAAGAGACTAATCAGAAGTGTGCTGTGGAATGGCTGGATGAAGGGTCAGAGCCTTAGGACCAAGTCTGCAGGAGTTAGGGCCTGGCCATCACCTCACTATCTTCTAAGACGTGATTTTCCCGGGGAACATCCCAGCCATTATGAGCTTTGGGGGAGGAGGCAGGGCATATACAGTAGGGCTCTGCTAGCACATTAGGTGTCTGTGTGAATTAGAAAAAAGGCCCCTGCCAGCTGAGGAACTATAGACAAATGTCCCCTCTAGATGGACCAATTAGAAGAAGGTGTCCCTTCCTCCAATCTGCTGCAATGGTCTGATGCAGACTACTGCCCCTCTCTGGCCATCCTTTTGTTCAGGGCACAACTTGCTCAACTGTGTGTGACGGGCCTGACATGACCCAGGAAAGCCCAGACATCCTAGAAGGAGCAAAACATTGTAACTGTTTGACCTAGAGAACAGGAAACCCGAGAACACATGAAACCAACTTTGTAAAACCAAAGTCAACATTTTCTAGAAAATGCTGGGAAAACTGCCATCTTTAGCACTAAAAGCAAAGATAAACTGAGCACCATCTGTGGCATGATCCCCTTCTACCACTTTCCACAGGCCCCTCTACTCCCAGGTGCTTGGCTTGGACGTTGGGCGGAATCCTGGCTAGCTTTCTAGAATTGGAGGCAAGCTCTGTAGATGGTAAAGGGGCACAGAGAGCTAAGTCCTGACTTCAGAAGCTTAACCCAATTAGGTCCCCATGCCCTGCCGAGCCCCACCAGGCTCACCTCCTCCAGACCAGTGACCGAGTAGGCATGACCTTTGACCAGCCCGCAGGCCATTCTTGTCTCATACTGAACCGGAACAATTGTCTGTGGAGCAATAATCAGACATCCCATCAGGGGCTGGGGAATGGAAGTTCTGCTGCTTGGATTTTCTGGGTTCTGCAAGAACAAGGGCTACTCCACTTCCTGAAAATGTACCTCATGACCATGAGCACACTGACGCTTTAAGAGTGTCAGGAAGAGACAGCCCCAGACAAGCTGGTTACCCCAACAAGGCTCTGTCCTGGCCGCTACAGAGCAATGTGAATGCTGAGATGTGAGGTGGGTAAGAGCGGCCCTATCCCTCCTTTCTGGAACCCTTAGGGTCTTTCAAAGGAGGAAGGGGGATAGTTGGAGGCTGCCCTGGACTTCCCATGAGCCCATCCAGGGCTGCCTATTCCTGGAAGAGAAAGGTATTAAGGGTGAGATGAAACATGTAGGTCTAAGCCTTTTTCTTTATATCTCCTCATCTCCTCCACACCCACCTAGAAAACAATATTCAAGGAATCGAGAGGCACAGCACCCAGGGAGAGAGTTCTGAGGAGGCCAGAGGACATGTCTGCTCAGATATGACTGTGCCTACAAGTGCAGGGGGTGGCACTTCCATTTGCAGAAACTTCCAAGTTGCAGCCATGGGGGATCCTTGGCAGAAGATTAGGATACCAAAGCCCACTGAGTCCTAGACAGGCTCTCCATGGCTTCAGTTTGCCTAGAAATATAAGTTTTAAGAGGAGTTTCCTGGAGCCATGCTGGGCTTTGGAATTCCTGGAGCCTTTCTCAGGGTGAGCGCTACAGGTGGGGCCAGGGCGTTTGGCATCTCAGCCTCTCCCAGATCTCAGTCCTCATATGATCCAGACCATGCTGAATAGAAAGGCAGGGGACAGGAGATACATCATCCTCATTTCTAGACTTGAGAAGCTACTTGAAATGACTCCTTTGGCATGACTTAAGCATGTCATTCAGCCTAGCACTTCTACTGCTGGGAATCTATCCTAAGGAAATCATCATGGATGCACACAAAGAGGAATCTATTGGGATGTTCATTATAGCACTTTAGAATAACAACAACAAAAAAAGAGAAAGAAAACAACCTAACTTTCCAATAACAGCGTATTGGGTAAATAGATTGTAACATATCTGTACGTTTAACTACTGTGGAACTTCTGAAATATGTTATAGGAGAATACTTATTGGCACATGAAGAATATAAAACTAACTGGAAAAGCAGACTGCAGAGAGGTACCTATAGTATGACAAAATTTTAAAAATAAAAATATAGATTAAGTGTGTACATAGAAAAATCCTGGAAGGACATACACCATATGTTAACAGTGATTATCTTTAGATCGGAAAAATATAGGTTAAATTTTCCTCTGTGTTTTTCTGTATGGCTCAGTATTCCTCAGTGAGCATGTGTTACTTCTGAGTGTACTAGAATATAAACTCTATGAGGAGAGAGACTTTGCTTTTTCACTAGAATAGTGAACAAATAGGAGAGTTAGCCAGTTGTTAGCTCAGTTGATTGGAGCGTGCTGCTGATAACACCAAGCTCAAGGGTTCAGATCCCCGAACCAGCCAGCTGCCAAGAAAAAAGGGGATTGGGGGAGAGGATTTTGCTTTGTTTGCTAGAAGAGTACCTAGTGCATAGTAGGAGCTCATCAATAAATGTTGAATAAATAAATCAATGATTAGAAGAGGAAAAATATTTTAAAGTAAATGAAGTCTCTCTGGTATTTCTGCCTGTTAATTCACTATCAGGGAAACTGACTACAGAGATTCTCTCCAAATCCTGGCTTTTCTCCCTTCTTCAGGAGCCTTGGAGTGAGCAATTTATTCCAACCCAGACCCTCAGAAAGCCCCAGGTGGGGGTCTGTGAGCAAGGCACCGGCTGCTGAGGGGAGTCTGACACAAACAGGGCTGGGTCATGCAGGTTGGAGGGATGGTCAATCCCGACAGTTGGAGGGGTACACACCCGGGCTGGTCTGTCATCTGAGCCTCTGGGGTCGAGGTCTGAATCCCTGAGCAGCGAATTATCCATATTCCGCACCATCCGTGCAATCAACTCTCCCATGTTCAGACAAGGAGAGGTTCCATAGGTCATGTTCGTGCCATCCTGAGGCCCAACAGGAAGGGTCGGGGACAGCCCAGGTGAGTGAGAGAGAACAAACAAAGGAGGGTGGAAAGGGAAGGAGATAGAAAGAAGGGAGGTGACAGACAAAGGAAAAGAAGAGAGATCAACAGAACATGAATGGAGAAAAGATGGAGAAAAGTGGTAGAGAATGAAAATGTCCACCCATGGTGTTTTATGCTAACACCTTTCAAGCTTTTCCAAGCTTTCCTATCCATTGGGAATGTTGGAGAAGAAGGAGCGGAATTCAGCTTGCGCCCCTTCCTCCTCAATGGAAATTACTGAGACTGTTATACATATATATGGCTTCCTCAGGGAAGGTCTGTCTCCCAAAACTCAGGAGGCCTGGCCACGGTCTGCCATCTCCTGTCTCAGTTCACACCACCTTGTTTTACTGAGAGGGGTGAGCTTCTCCCAGATAACAACACAAAGCCCATGAAGGTTTTCTTGGGGAAATGGTGGGCTCAGGTCCATAGCCAAGTATGTGGCTAGCTTAATGGGGGTGTCCTGGGACCAAGCAGCATTGACAAGAAAGGCCTCCACTGACATAGGCCTCTGAACCCATTTCCACCTAAATTCCAGGGCTTGGAATGTCCTTACCCAATCTCTTTACTAGAAATCCCCAAGAACTCTTCTCCCTTGAGAAATTCCCAACATTCAAAGTAGAGAGCCAGTTCCCGCTTTCTAGAACAAAATATTCACCCTGTTCCAGAAGAAAGCTTTGCGCCACCATTCACTGGGTAGAAGGCTTCCCAGTACTTGGCTGCTCCCTGCCCTGCACCCCACAGTCCAGACTTACATCAATGGAACAACCCATGAGGGAGCCTCTCTCAATGGCTTTCTTCATGATCTTGTACATGTCTCTGGGAGCATCCTTGATCTCAAAAAACTCTGTCACCCCTCCTGTGAAGTCCTCCATGGCCTCTGTAGTGTTCCCACCTTTTAGGGCTTCATAGGAACCATGGAGCCTTGGAGAGAGAAGACCAATCCAGTGTCACGGAGTTCCAGGAATCATGACCCATGTACCATTGCCACCAGAACTTTACTCTTTGGTCCTGTGATGTTCTGTCATCAACCCTGTGAGCTAATTGAATGGGTACAATGATTCTCTTTCTTCACAATGAAGAAATTGCACTCAAGAGGCTTAGTGACCCACCCAAGACCACAGAGAGCCAGAAGCACTGGGATTGGAATCCAGCTATACTCACTTCCTGATAGTTCTCTTTCCACCATATCCTGAACCCTGAGGTAGGCATTAAAGCCATTATCAGCTGGGGTAGAGCTTCTAAGTTGAGAGACAACATGGCTTTATCAATATGCTACAAGCTTAGGAGGTTGAGCCAAGCAAGAACCTGAGATCTGAGCTCCAGAGATACAATGCTCTGATCCAAGACTTGCAATATCACCATGAAGGCAAAACTAAAGAATTCAGTGTGGGAGGCTAAAGCTAAAGATTTCCTACACAAATCTTCGTTTCTATTCTTAAACTTAGTGTTTTTAGTTAGAGCTGTTGGTGCCTGGTCTTGATTTTCTCTGACTTTGGGTCACAATTGAACACCCACTCATGCTCATACAATGTACCTACAGACATGCACCCTACTATGAGTGAGATCTCAGTTGGATTTGCAACCCACTTCCTCACCTCTAGCCCTGCCTCACATTCTAAAGCATTGCCTTACTTAGCATAGGCCTTCTCCAGCAAAGCACTCCAGAACTCATTGCGGTGGTTGGATTTGGTGAAAACCAGTTGATTGTTGTACGTTGGTAGACAGTCATCAATAACCACATCCACCCAGTCTCCATAGCGCCAAAACTGCACAGAAGTGTGAAGCACAGAGTCACATTCTCAGCAATTGGAAATATGTCCTTACTCCAGAGTCCTTGGGAATCTCTTTGATCCCAAAGCAGTACAATTTCCTAGGCTCTGCATCTTATTGCTTGTTCTTCCTATTCTGTGTTTGGGGTATGTGAATCTATCCCTTGAGGGCAGAAAGTGAGTTACATACCATGTCTTGTCCACAGAGTCCAGCCCAGTACTGGAAACAGTAGGTGCTCTGAGAGTACCTTAGGACTTGAGATTTTCAGTCTCTTATTCAGGAGGTCTGGGGTTGGGCCTAGGTATCAATATTTTTAGGTGTCCCGCATGGTTCTAATGTGCAGCCAGGATTGGGAACTACTGGTCTAGGTGAAGATGCTGTTTTGATTTATGTATTTCTTGACAACAAACAAGGTAGAAATTGCTGCTGAAGGAGAAGGATTGAAGTAGAAGGGGAAAGTGACCCAGACATGCTCTGGCTATAGCAGGAACATTGTCCAATCATTTCAATTCTGGATATTCTTTTTTGAAAAAATCAGTTCTAACTGAAGAAAGCCACATGTAGTTTAATCTCCTTTCCAATGGCACTTTCTCCCTCGTTGAAAAGAGGACAGAAATCTGTCTGGTCTTTCTATTTATGGTCCTTTAGATAACAGGCCCTTTATATATCAGAGGGAAGCTAGTAGTTTGATGGCTTAGGGAAGAAACAAAATTCAGGGCCTGGCTGCCTTGCCCATGTTCCATGGGCAGCAGGACATGGAATGCTAATCTGAATAGAGACTTTTTCTGAGGCCTTCAGTCCTGAGTATGGGACGAGCAGGAACATCAACTGATGATTTGGGTCATCCTGGGACATAAAGGAGCCTTCAGGGCTGGAGAAAGACTGACTCCTCAGAATTCCAGTATCTGCTTGAACCCCACATTTAGAGTTCACTTTGGTTCTGGGTTACATCAGAATTTAACTCTACAGCAAGACAATTTGAGCCGAGAAAATTTCCAAAGGGTAAATTGATTTTGGAACCAAGAGACTCAGTTCTGGGCCATATCAGAAGCCTGATCCCCAGATTAACCAGACTTTTCTTTCAGGGCCTAGAAGAAGTGAGTGGTAGACTTGGTACAGACCTGCCAGAAAAGAGAAGTAAACAGGAGCTGCAGTTTGTGGACTAGGGGTTCCTATACAAAAGGACCCAACAGCTTCTCAGGGCTAATTCTTTAGGAATCTACTTGAGAAGGGTTGCAGGCAATTAAGCAGCAGCCAGCCAGCTGGAGAGGCAAAAATAGACTCACAGGCCAGCAAACAGATGTCTTCCTGCCTTTTAGGGCCTAGCGGAAGGTGGGGGGGAGGGGGTTGGGGAACAGAGATAAGAAACTGCTTCCTCACAGGCCTCAAGCCTTAAGAAGGTCACTGCCCACTGTCACGGCTCGGGAGTGGGGTGGAATCTTTCCTGGAGCTGCTGGGAAGTCAAGGCCAGGACATCAGTGGTGGGTGGACCGCAGCTGTCTCTCTTAATCACATTGCCATTACCTGGAAGTGAAAGATCCCCGCATAGTTTTCGGTGAAACTCTGATCATGCGGTATGACTCGGAAAAGTAACCGCTCATTCAGAGTCAGGCAGGCGATGGCTGCAAGAAACCAGCAGTCCCCTGCAGGCAAACACATGGCACAAGTCGTGGGTGAGCCTCTCCCTCCAGGGAAGAAAAAGACCCAATTCCAGCCAGCTGCTACATTTCTCTGAGGAATGGGGAATCACTTGGTGCTCACTGTCCTACTTCCAGTGTCAACCCAGGGAGGAGATTTAGACAGGAGTCCCTTGACAATATGATCAACAGGGTAACATGCCTCAGTGACTGGATGTTTTCCTAAAGGCAATTACTCCATCTGCAATACAAACTCACTTCCTTTTTGGCCCTCAGTGGAGACACAGCAGAGGTAGATCATAATTGAGTTGTTCCTAACACGTATGGGAAATCCGCCCTGCCCCGTACCTTTACAGTGTGAGTTCATTTCCCCTTCTGATTTCAGCAAAAACTGAGCATCAGAGAACCACCAGCCAAGATTTGTACAGTAAGGATGCCCAGTTAGGCAGCTGCCCTGGAACCAGTCTATAGGGGGCACTAAGACATTGCCAGCAATGGTATGAGATGAGAACATTTTCTTATTCCCTGGACCTCTTTTCTGGCAGAATACTGTATGTATGTAGTCAGAGGTAACACTGCCGTGTGTGTGTGTGTGTGTGTGTGTGTGTGTGTGTGTGTGTGTGCGCGCACGTGCATGCGCCCGCGTGCTGAGAACCGCACGCAGCCACCTTCCCTTCTTCTCCTTCTGAAGCAGCCAGTCTCTCCTTGGAAACAGTGTATTGGTTTGAAGGGCCCATATTAGAAGCTTGCTCAGAGTTCTGCAGGCAGCCTTCCCTCAGGTGCAGGAACCTAGATATCCAGTTCGGCTTCAGCCTCTCCTTCTGGAGCCAAATAAGCCAAATGCCTTTCATCTGGTCTTGAGTGCCCTTTCCCCCCCAAGTTTTAAATTGTGTGTTGATGTTCTCTCCAATTGTACTTCATGGAGCTTGCCCACAGTCCACACCAAAGAAAATACTTTTTGAACAAGAGACTGAGAGAGAGGAAGGTCTGAGGGAACAGCCAAGCTAACTAACCAAACAGAAAATTGGATGCTTATCCATGTGGCAAACGTCATCTTTGTTGAAAGACTCCTTTAATATGGAGCTCTTCTGGGGCAATTCAAACAAGACTTCAAATTACAAGAGCTCTTTTTGAATAATGCGTTTCTTTGTGTGTATATAGATTCTATATACTCAAGGGGCACTCTTGGTACACAGACAATCATAGCACTGTCTTCTAAGGAAGATGGGTACAGTTAGAAGCAGGGCTTCTGTCGTGCTGAGTTGGGTGTGTGTGTTTTAAAACTCTAGAGGAGAAGCTGTAGAATGCGGCGTGCCTTCTGTGACACAAGGCAAAGTACTGATGAGATATATGGGAGGAAACAAAGCAATCACCAGCATCAGATAAATAAGCATCAAGTAACTGTTATTAAAATCTTTCAAAAATTCATTAAAAGCAAGAATAGATCCTTGTCCCTTTACCTCCTGGAAAAGGATCACACCTTTTAATTACCTCTTGATCATCTGGCTGGATATGACCTGAGGGACTTTCCTACCTAGATCTCCTTGACAGATGTCCGTTCTATTGGCTCCACCAATGATAAACCGGGGATTCTCGCAAATTTCCTGTGAAACAAAAAGGAAATGACCAGATAATAATAATAATAGTAGCTATTATTTATTGAGTTCCACTATGTAGTATAGGCATCATATGTCAGGAGCTTCACCCATACCACTCATTTAAGCCTCAAAAAATAGCCCTGTGAATTGGATACTTACTGTAATGCTTATTTTTCAGGTAAGAAAACTGAGGCTCAGAGGGGTTAAGAAACTTGCCCAAGGACATGCAGCTAGTAAGTGGTTGAAGCCAGAAGCATGCCTCCTTTTCACTTTGTCCCATAATGCCACACTGTCATACTATCTCAGTAAGGATGCACCTTGAGAGGCAGAGCAGTGTCATTCCTGTCACAGTTTTGGCAAAGTGAAAGCTGAAAGCATGGTTCTTGCTTTTTCTATGCCAGGAGAAGAGATGCTGGAAGGAAAATAAGGATCTTTTTCCCCAAGATGTAACAATATAGATATTCAGAGTGAACATATGTCCCAGTGTTCACAGGACTTGAATGCTGGGGAAACAGAGAGTCAATAAGGTGTGAGCCTCTCAGCCTCCCTGTCTGTTGGAGGGTGCGCTTCTCTATTCAAGTCTACCCAGTACGGCACCACTGTCACCAGCAGTTTTCAAGTCCAGTTACTAGACATATGTGCAGCCCAATAGAGCCCAATAGAAACAGAGGGTGCTCTTGTTTCTACTTGGATGTGTCTTATGTTTGTTTGTTTATTTATTTTAACTTTTTAAAATTTAAGATAATTACAGATTCAGTGTTTTGGTTTTAACACCATTCTTCACAGCTTCAAGAAGGCTTGCTATTCCTGTGCCATGGCTCTCTTGAGCTTTCTCTCTCTCTTTTCTCCTCTCAATCACAACAACCCAACATACCCTAGTGAGCTGAAGCTGCCCGCACTCTGTGGTCAATCCCCCCTACTAGATGGAAAGTCTTGCTCCTACCACACCACAGCATGCCTCCCAGATGGGAAACTCTGAGTGCAATGGAGGGATAAACCAAAATCAATAATTTTTTAAAAGGTTACCAATATGGGGAGGGAGGGAATAATGTTGAGGGAATAAGCATGGAAGTAAAATTCTAAATATAAATGATTGAAAGTAGTTTTGACTTAAAAACCATGTAAAATTTTGCATAATTAAAAGTCAAAATTAAAGTAAAAATAATTTTAAAAAGCAATCTGTAAAAGCTGAAAGCAAACTGAAGCAAAGGAACTTAAGTGCATATCAAGTTGGTGGGATAACCACACACATAAAAAGGATTATTCCAATGACTTAAACCTTTTGGCTGTTTATCTCTTTTGGGATATAGTATAAGGACAAAATCCAAAACCATAAAGATATATGAGCCATAAGAAATAAAAATATTATTATTTCAAAACTTTGAAATATACACTATAGGATAAAGCTAATAAGAACTTAATATTATTAGAAACAAGATTTTTTTAGTGTAAAAGAAAATATGTAAAATTATAAAATCAAATAACTAACAACCTTGCAATGTTAACTTGCATATAGAAGTATAACTCATGATTTATTTTTGTCTCTCTAAAAAAAAAAATTTCCTATCTCTATGTACTAAAAGCAAAACTGTTAGCAACAACAACCGAGTAGAAAATAAAACATCGATATCCGTGTTGTTGTATTTAAACACCATTTTCCACTAAAATAAAGCAGAGCTCATTGAGGAAATTTCCAGTTCAAGTTATGGGGCAAAAAATATACAAAAGATGAGCCTAGGGAGCTTTCCTCAGAGAGCAAGGAAATTATCAAATTCTTCTTGGTGGTGTCAAAAGGACACAGAAGCCAATTTGAAGAGGCTTCCGCTGGTCAAGGATGGTACAATATGAGCATTAAAAAGAATTTTAAGAAATAGGGAGAATAAGGAACAGATTTCTACAGTGAGTAAAACCCTGACTAAGACATGCCCACTAAACAGATCAAAACTGTAGCCAGTTATTTCAATAAGCTAAAAAAATTTTAAACTTGTATATGTCATAAAAAATAACACAAATAAGAGTTTGAAAAACTTGGAAACAAGGAGACAAAACTTAAGAAAGACTTAGAAATAAAAGAAAAAAATCACCTTGGAAATGAACACTAACCATGAAGGAACACAAGAGTGAACGATCACAACAAATAATACCCGAAGAAAACAGAAGTGAAAGAGGAAAATTATAAAAAGAAAAAAGAAATGAAGAAAGAGAGAAATAGGGTTCAAGAGAAAGTGACAAATAAGGCAAAATAAATTCAACATACAGGTAATAGGGGTCTCTGAAGAAGTAAAGCAAAGAAAAGGAACAGAACAAGTACTAAGAACTATAATCTGAAATTTTTTTTCCCTCAAAATGAAAGAATATATTTGATACTACACGTTGAAAGGACAAACTGAATACTGAGAATATTGGCCCAGAATGACCAACATGAAGGTATATCCTAGAAAATCACGAGGCTTAAAAGAAAAGAGGAAAAAAATTATTTGTGGGAAAAAAAGAGCAAGGGACTTACAAAGGGAAACATGAGGTTATCACCAGACGTTTCAATGCTTTATGCCAGAAGAAATTGGAGCAATACATGTAAGATACTTAAGGAAAGAAAATATGAACCAAGGTTTTACATACAACATAACTTTCAAGTATAAAAGTTCTGAGCAAACTTTTCAGTATGTAAAAATTTAGGGAATATTGTTCTCATGAGCTCTTCTTGAGGAATCTACTAGAGAATGAACTTCAGACAACCAGAAGGATTGGAAGGACATTAACATAAGGACTGGGGGTATCTAATATATAGTTACTTGTAGAATTAATACTAAATGATGGTTAAAAGGGACAATGTATAGTATGTAATGTATGGCTTGTAATGTTCAGGCAATGCACAAGTATTTAAAACTATTTTAGATGGGAGGAAAAAGAAGAGAGCATATGAAAAAAATTAAATGGTTTTCAGGAATTATTTTGGTAGTGATGTTATTAACACTGTTATTCTGTAGCTTAATCAGACAAACAAAAGTTGAGAAAATTCGTTACCAGCAGACTTGCCTTGCAAGAAATATTAAAATAAGTTCTTTAAGGAGAAGAAAAATGCTATAGGTTAGAAACTTGGATGCACATAAACAGAGAAAGAGCATTGGAGAAGTAACTGAAGGTAAAATAAAATCTTTTATTTTATTATTCTTAATCTAGAAGATCACTTTTAAAAGTAATAATAAAAACAGCATGTTGGAAAATTAAAGCATGAGGATTAGTGGAGTGAATGACAGTGATGTCATAAGCAAAGGGAGGAAGGAATTGGGAATAAAAGTATAGATGATGAACCAAGAGAAAATACAAGATGGAATCATATAAAATGTTCAGCTAAACCAGAGAAGCCAGAATAAGGGAGAGGGTACGAAGAATAAATGCAACAAAGAAAACAGAAACAATCTCGGTAGATATTAATCCAACTATGTTATAATCACATGTGAGTGGTCTAAATACACCAATCAAAAGAAAGAGGTTGTGAGAGTGTATAAAAAACAAGACCCAACTATATGTTGTCTACAAGAAACCTACTTTAAATAAAAAGACCCAGGTAGGTAGACAAGGATATAATATATTAACACTAATCAAAAGAAAGTTGGAGTAGTCAGACAAAGCAGACTTCAGAACAAGGAGAATGATCAGAGGTAAACAGAGGCATTACATAGTGATAAAAAGGTTGATTCTTCAAGAAGACATACAATCCTAAATGTGTGTGCACCTAACAACAGAGCGTCAAAATACATGAGGCGAAAAGCGATGTAACTGAAAGGAGAAATAGACCAATCCAGTATTGTAGTTGGAGACTTCAACGCCTTTCTTTCAGTAATTATGGATCAAGCAGGCAGAAAATCAGTAAGTATATAGTTGGCCTGAGCAACACTATCAATCAACTTGATTGAATTGACATTAATTGAGTTTTCCATCGAACAACAGCAGCATAGTCTTCTCAAAATTATATCTAATAAGTCATTAAGTTAGATCACATTCTGGGTGACAAAACATACCTTAAATTTAAAAGAACAGAAATCATACAAAGTATGTTCTCATACCACAAAGGAATGAAACTAGAAATCAACAACAAAAAGATACGTGAAAAATACCAAATTATTTGGAAACTAAACACGCTTCTAAATAACACAATGTTGGGCTGGCCTGGTGGCACACTGCTACAGTGCGCCGCTTGGGAGCGCGGCGGCGCTCCCGCCGAGGGTTCGGATCCCACATACAGACCGGTTCCTGCTCACTGGCTGAGCGAGGTGCGGGCGCAACACCGAGGGTTGCGATCCCGTTGCCGGTCCCGGTCCGGTACGGGCGTGACACTGAGGGTTGCGATCCGTTGCCAGACATGAAAAAAGATAAATAAATAAATAAATAAATAAATAAATAAATAAATAAATAAATAAATAAATAAATAAATAAATAAATAAATAAATAAATAAATAAATAAATAAATAAATAAATAAATAAATAAATAAATAAATAAATAAATAAATAAATAAATAAATAAATAAATAAATAAATAAATAAATAAATAAATAAATAAATAAATAAATAAATAAATAAATAAATAAATAAATAAATAAATAAATAAATAAATAAATAAATAAATAAATAAATAAATAAATAAATAAATAAATAAATAAATAAATAAATAAATAAATAAATAAATAAATAAATAAATAAATAAATAAATAAATAAATAAATAAATAAATAAATAAATAAATAAATAAATAAATAAATAAATAAATAAATAACACAATGTTATTTTGTGGTCAAAATAGTTATTTTAGGGTCAAAAAAGAAATTTCAAAAAAAGTTAAAAAATATTTTGAACTACAATAGTTCCCACCTCCCCTTATCCACAGGTTTACTTTCTGTGGTTTCAGTTACCTGTGGTCAACCATGGTCCAAAAATATTAAATGAAAAAATTCCAGAAATAACCAGTTTATAAGTTTTAAATTGCATGCTCTTTTGAGTGGCATAATG